AATGGAGCGCGTGCGAGGACGCACGCATGTCAGTATGGCCGTGACGGCACCTGCACCGTTGTAGATGCGGTGGCGTCGGTCTAGCAAGACAGAATTCTTGTAAACGACACGTGTACCGCACACCTGCGGCATCGCACCTGCGTTACTGCCCGTCCTGCTTGTATAAAACGGACTGAGCGGCCGCCGTTAAGACAGTCTTGGCTCTGACGTGGAACGGTGCGCTTGTCGTATTGCGTTACTAGTTTATCCTCGACTCGTTGGATAATTAATTCGTGTAAACGAATTAATTATTATTCCTAACTACAAAATCAGTCTCTGTACTATACCCATTATACTTCCTACATATACAAGAAACAGAAAGGGGCCGAGAATTGAGACTTGTGGCACGCCCATTTGTACCATCGATCCGGAAGAGCTCATATTGTTAATGACAACTTTTTGCGTTCACTTACTTAAATATGAAATAATTAATTTAAGAGCATCACTTCTTACACCGTAGTGTTGAAGTTTCCCGATTAATGTTTCATGGTGAACACAATCAAAGGCCTTGGATAGGTCACAAAATATATCCAAAGCATCCTGTGAATTCTCCTATGCATTAAAGATATATTTAATCAGCTCAACACCGGCATCAGTTGTCGAGCGACCCCTTGTGAACCCAAATTGATTTTTATGAAGTAAATTATTTATATTAAAAAAATTTAACATTTGATCAAGAACAATTTTTTCAAAAATCTTACTAAGTGTTGGTAGTACAGAAATATGTCTAAAATTGGCGGGGTCTAATGTACTACCAGATTTAAATAAAGGTATTACTTTGCTTCATGCTTCATTAAATCAGGAAACACACCAGATTCGATACTAGTATTAAAAATAATAGCTAAATGAGGCGCGATTGTATCTATTATAGACGTAATAACTTTAACGGAAATCCCCCACAGATCCGCAGTTTTCTTAACATCAATATTTTTAAAATATTTTACAATATCTTTTGATGACTTTATGAAATGTAAAATTCTTTGTACACGCATTTACATTTTGTTTAAGTAATGATTCGGCGACGGCAGGAGAAGAATTCAGTGACTTAGTGGTCAAGATCGGAATATCAGTAAAATATTTCTCAAAAACCATTGCTACTTCCTGATCTGATACAGTTACTTTGTTGTTAACACTTAACTGGTAATTTGAATTGCGAGAGTTGATCTTACCAGTTTCGCTATTAATTATACTCCATGTCATTTTAATTTTATTGGAAGCCGTCTTAATTTTGTTGCTCAAATGCAAAGACTTGGCTGTGGAGCACACTCTTTTAAATATTTTTGAATATTTTTTTACATATTCCCTAAATTCGACGCTTTGATTATATGACCTTTCATGGTAAAGATTTATTTTTTCTTTCATGGTATATATTTTTCATTATAACGATATATCGTTATTAGCGGGTTTTTGCTATTAGTACTGTGCATGTTGACGGCACGGGTTCCATGAGCCGCCCATAGATAATACACTATATACCAGGGAGAGCCGCCACTTCTAATCCCATTCTGTATCCGTACTGTTCGTATACTTAGTTTTTGTAATTCACGAGGTCAAGCGTTAGTCGTGGTTGAACGTGTACATGCACATTGCGATAGTGTGCGTGTCTGACGGAGCGATTAGTTGGGAGTTCCTTTACAGGGCATTTCTTTATTATCCGTCACTAGTAATATCCGCCACTGACCTATAATATATGTATACAAGTAAGCTGGACTGGCCATAGATTATAGTATTAAACTCTGGACACCATGACATGATGACGCGATTTGATTTTCGCCATTTTGGTGCTGAAAGCAGTAGTGTGCGTCCACGGAAACTATAATACAGATTAGACAATGTGACGAAATATATAGATAAAAATTCTATATCCCGGCCTGCCCGTAACGTCTATTCTATTTATGTATCATTCAAATTTTAATATAATGCCTTACAATAAATAAATATATTAATTAATACTTATGGCTTTGACGCAAGCTTTCTACCTCATATAAAACAAAAATCGACGCTGCGCTAGTCTATCTCTACGTTTTTCTTCTTAACTACAGAACGAGTTTTATTCCGGGTTTCACCGTTGGGTATGTCTGGTTCATTCGAGAGGTTTAAAAAGGTCCAATGCTACAAAATAAAAAAATATAATTTTGTAAATAATTCAGTCCTCGGACTAGAGAAAAAATAAATAAGCTAAAATAATGCCTATTTCAACAGTATCTATATGTAGGTACAATTTAGATTTTACAAACTTTAAATTATACATTAAAAATACCGTACAACAAATCATTGATGTCATAATCAATTTCAATATATAAAGGTATTCTGTGTCTGTGATCAATTTGCTTCGGATGCTAATTCACAAGTTTTATATAAGCTTTTTAGTAACAGTTATAAGAATAGAGTGAGTTGAAAATTTATAATTTAATAAATATTTGATAATGATCTGTTGTCAGCGACTTTCGTTGTTGTAAACCAAACTCTCGTCAGAGAGTAGTACACAGAGTACTTTTTAATATACCAGTAGTACTGTAGTATGTTCCTTGTTGTAAACAGATATGGGTAGAGAAAAAAGCACTGATAACATATTATTGACAGGGAAGTCGTCAACCCTCTTGAATTTTATTGTTTTTCAAAAATAAGCAATGTAAGGCCAAGCGTGTTAGTAAATATATTATTTTATTTTTAATATGAGCGAAATATTTTTAAGTGCCTATATTATAAAATAGTTTTAATTTTTTGATATAAACTGTAAATCCCCTTACTTGTGGAATGTTACCACACTTTCCTTATGAAAACGAGTATAAAAATCACGCACACTATCATTGTTACTAAAAAAATACTTTTTATTGTTATCTGTTCGAGGCCGCAGAGCATTTTTTTCGTGATGATGCCTCGTCTAGAGGCGAAACACGTGTCGTATTATCGATTATATAGTGTAAGATAGTGATAACGTGATTTTGGGAGGGAGTAAAATACTCTTCAAATTAGGTAATAAACCTATCTAGTAATTACAGCCCTCTGCTGGCATAGGCATCCCCCATATCTTGCCTAATACGGGATAGGGGGGGGGGGGGATTTCGCTATAGTTGCTACGCTGGGCAGACGAGTCGGCAATCGCGCATTTTTTTTGTAATTTTGTGTTTTTTTTTATAGGTTAAGGGTGACAAACGAGCACACAGTTCACCTGATGGTAAGTGGTTGCTGTGGCCCATCGACGTCTATGCTGCTATTTTGTGAGAGTGTGGACCTTCCCCGGTCGAGCCGACCCATTCGTGCTACAACTATACTATTAATATAGCTGCAGCATGGCTCCACCAAGAAGTTGTTATCAAGAAGACACTGCTGCCCATATTCTAGTTTGTTTCGCTCTGTCGCCTCTTACGACACCCACGGAACGATATGGGGCAGTGGATATTATTACACCGCCACTACATGGTAGGAAATAAGTCCTCTTTCTCAAACGTCAAGAAGGGGTTTTACAAACATACTCGTAAATAGTACATGAATTAATATACGGTCCAGTAGCAATTTTTATTTGTAAGTCATGCAAGAAAGAAAAACATATTTAAAATAAAATGATTTTATTTTACACATCCTTCATATATAAGTACACATTGGCTTACTTGACTACTTCCTACTTAGCTACTTACTTGACTTGATTACTATATATGCACATAAAATTGGAACAGTTTTTAAATTTAATATACACAGACATACAGTAATCTATATCAATTTTGGGAATTAATACTTATTTTAAAATGGTTCTCTAGTCAGTTGTGGCAAGTAAAACAATTTAATCGGATAAACAGGTTGGACAATTATCTCAACATTTTTGACTAAAATTCTTTTCAAACATAAAAACTAATAATAGTTAATTTATTAATCATTTCATATTATGTTTATGTCTTTTATTTCAAGTTACTTTAATTGGTTTTCAACTTCGTCTAATTGGTAGCACTTTTTGCAAATTCTTAGTTGTTGATGTTGATTCCTGTTAGTTTCATAGTATTAAGACCATGGTGAAACACAGCAAAATTAAGCTGCTATCTAACAAAACAAACAACCTTGCGTCGCACTGACCCTGAGATTGTTGTCCATTGGCTGTGCCAGCGTAACCGGTTTTTTCCAGTGTTGCCAGTGGTCACGCACACATGGTCCGCGTGCTTGTAGTAGTGCATCCAATTCGTGTGGTTGTATGAAAAAATATCTATGTTTCGTTTATCTACTCACGTGATATGGCTGCAGCGTGGCTCTACCACGTTTTAAAATTGACTTTGTTCGTTTACATCGAGATTTACTTAAGTCAAATAAAACATAAATAAAACTATATTATTTAATGAGATGACTTTTTAAACCATTCTGTACTATCATTCAATAGTTACAGTAGTTACAATAGTTAAGTAAAATAAACCTAAAATAACTTATTCAAAACTTAATTACGAATCACTTAGCATCCTTTACCATAGCGGATTTTTTGCTTATACTTATAATATTAGATAAATAATACATTTTTCCATGTCTGACATGTTATTATTTTCTGTGATACTAGCACTTTAACACACAATTATTAACAAACATTTATTTTGGATTTTGCGTGCTCAGGGACGACAGTGTATATGCAAGATAGATCTAGCAATGGGTGACTAAAGTCTATGAAATTATAGTAGTGTAATAAACTTTACTTTGAACTTTTTAAATATTCCAATAAGTCTTGATACACATCCAGAATAGGTAACACAGAGTAAGTAAATATAAATTATTAATTGTTTTCTTTAAAATTATGTTTATCCAATTTATTTATTTAAGAAATCCGAGACTCGTATAGCACTAGTGTCTGGTTTCTCTCAACCATAATCGGTGGTGTCACATTAAAGCTGAAAATGTTGCAATAACAAAAATCTTTGAAGCTTACATTAATAATTGGTTGGCTAAGTTTTAAATAACTGTTACATATCTACAGAATAGTCTAGAGTTTAATCTGTCCTCCCAGTGAGCAGATGCTCTCTCAGGGTGCAGATCTCTCGCTCGATGTTCTCCCTCGCGGCAGCCTCAAAACACTCAAACTCGTGTGTGTGGAACAACTTTGGGATTTGAGAGAACTGGTTCAGAACCTGTAATTTTATACAATTATAATTATAACATTTATAAATAAAATAATTTCTTTTTTGTTTGTCCTATATATAGGGCAAATATATAAAGATCTATAAAAACCTACGTAAATGAACACAGTTACATCAGATTTGCTATAGCACAAATCCTCGCGGAAGAACATCGATTCCTGCCAAGGATGATACGTAAGGCTATTGAAATTTAAAAAAAAAACATACTAATTTCAATAGAGAAGGAAGCTGGGTACTACCATCTGGTTGGGATCTTGATATTAATGAAGTTAAAACTAAATCCAAGCATTCTACTGCAAGAATTCAAGTTCATTCTGTGTAGATCGGACGAAAAGTCATAATTCAAAAGCTGAAGGTTAACTTTGACATGGAGACGTTTATCTCCTCAGTCCCCCGTGACCATGGTCCGTAAAGCACCCGAAACGACGGTAACTAAAAATAAGTAAATTGAACGCGAAAATTTTCAAACCATGCATGCAGTTATATTAATTGTATAGTTGTAGCAAAAATGAGTCTGCTCGACTGGGGAGGGACCACGCTCTCACAGAATACCAGCGTAAAACAGCAGCTTAATACTGCCGGGTTTCGTATGCTGAGTAAAGAACCGGAGACCCATTTACTGGAAAAAATGGCATTCCATATTTGTCCTCACGGCTGACAACGCACCTGCATTTTGATTCACATGGGTCACAGCAACCACATACTATCAGGTATACAGTATACTGTGTGCTCGCTTGTTACCCTTATCTAAAAAAATCTTTAAAAATAGTTTTATTCAACTTCCCATTACACTATTCAGGATTCATTGCTGTGCGTTGCCTATTTTCTTTAAACTGTTAAAAGGAGACGGTACTCAATTCGACGCGTATGTTTTTTTTGTTTTTTTTTTATATGTGTTACCTCATAACTTTTTACTGGGTGAACCGATTTCGATGATTCTTTTTTTATATGAAAGCTGATACTTTTCGTGTGGTCCCATATGAATGAATGATGAAATGAATATGAAAGGTTGATTTGAGGTCAGACTAACAGTTTTTGAGTTATTTGAGTTATTCTTAATAACTAGTGAAGTCGGCTGTACAAAATATTTAATTTCTAATTATTTAAAAAAGGTATTACATATCACTACCTACAAGATGGCAACATGTTAATTAACAATATAGCACATATATATTATAATTAAATATAATTTAACTTTGAAAAAAAAAATGTCTTGAATTTGCATATAAAATACGAAAAGACTTTTTCCCCGAACTGTTGGAATGAAGTTCCTTATCGCACGGTACAAATTTGACGAATGGGGGCTAGGCGAGAACCGTCACGACATTTCTATAGTGCGAGCGAGATGGAATGATATCCATCTCCCTCGCAATTTTTCTTATCTTGCCATGAAAAAAATATTATTTTAAATGACGCTTCATTTTAATAGACGCTAGTAATTCATTTATTTGTATTTGTTAATCAATAATATAATACGTTTATCAATAATAATATACTACGAAAGGAACTTCGTTTCAACCGTGAGTTTGACGACACTCACGCATGTTTTTTTTATTTTATTTGAAACACTTCTTTTATTTGAAAATATGGTTATAGTGCTTGATATAGTATTATTTAATTTATAATACTTTATAGCAACGAAGATAAGAATCGATTTGTTTGTACTTCGGACACTTACATTATACTAAAAATACTTTTCTGAGATGTGAATAATCGATTCCTGTAACCCACTGAAGTCAAGAAATCGAGTGATCTTAACAAGGAGAGCAGGTTCCCTCAGTTCAATCAGTAGTGGTAGGTACAATAACCTACCTGAGGTTTGGTTGTTTCGAAAAAATTCTTTATCTTTCTTTACATTGAATAATAACGGAGAACAAACTCCTATCAGACAATACGAAAACAATTAGAAAAGGATAGTTGTAATGTAATATAATAATACCTGGAGTTACTTTACGGAAATTAATTATAATATTAAAGAGAAAATTATTTGCCATGTAAAAACAAAAAATTAAAGAAAAGCCCCATTTTGAGGCGAATCACGTGTCGTATTATTATTATGTACAAAATGACTGCCCCTTTGGTTTGGCCATAAACACAATTGCTAATCACAAAGGGCTAAAATCCCGGGTGAGGCCAAAAATGAGTTATTAGGTTTCTTGTCAAGAATTTCTGAGTAGCAGCTCAGAGTCAGGAAGTTGGCGTTATTTTAACCTCGTGCCTGGGAGGGAAAGCATGCAAGCAAGATGGTTTGAGCGTGATCTATCTTCGATCGTGTCAAGTAATCGTCCCGACGGAGTATGAGAGTGAGGAAATAGAGAGTGCACCTGCTGTGCACTATAACTCTGTCCTGCGGAGATCGATAGTCTCCGTTAAGACTGGCTACCCGTTATTCAGTCTAGACGGCATTATTATTATTATTATTTAAAAATGGTGAGTTTTGTGCGTATGGCATGTTGTGTGAGGTGGTATAAATAGTATCGTCGTCATAAATTCGAGACGATGTCTTTCTGACTTTAATGATAATCACTTTTAACGAGTAATATTATGATATAGGAACAGTGGCGAAGCTAGGGCTCCAAACTATGGCTAACCCAAGATATGGTTTTGTTGTTTTTAGCAGTTTTATAAAAATACACCAATCTTTATCTGTCTCCACTCTTCAGTTTGATATTCAGTGCTGTCGAGGACGTATTTAACAAAGCACACAGAAGGCATACTACTACTAGATAGGTTATATGACTATTTGCATACTTTCGGTGGCTTTGAAAAAAGCCTTTTGGGTCTGCTTGAGTTTTATTTATATTGTAAATCGAATCGTCTCTCTTGCTAAAAAAAAGATTTGATTACGTCGTAAAATGTTGTTGAACATTTTAATTGTACCAATAACTGCTTATGTGGATATGAGATGTTTTTTTTTTCAACAAACTTTAAAGATTTTACCTTTTCCTCGCCGATTAGTACTTTAACACACTTAAATTCATCACAAGGAACACTATTATCCTCCATTTTTACTAAAATAGCATTAAAGTAAACACACAGAGTAAACGTTGAATTGTGAAGTGAAGTTGCAAACGTATCGCCCGCATCCACTAACTTCACACCAAAAGCCGGGCTTTTGGCTCCATACTAATTGCTATATAAACAACAGTAGTTATATTTCATTATAGAACATTTTGCCACAGGTTAGAAAGGGAGCGATCGTCTTGTCGAAAGCCCGGTAAAAAGCCCACGCGTGTGAGAGAGACGACTAATCGCTCAACTCTACTCCTTTTTTATGACAGCAGTATCGCGCAGTTTTGCCGCGACGATTAATTAACTGTGTAGAACAGAGGAGCGCGCGGGAAATTTGAAATAGTTTGCAACAGTTTACGAGTTATTAGTTAATATTATTGATTGAGCAATTTTATAGGGCAAGCCCGACTTCTCGGCTTCTATGGAGGTTTGCTACCGTATAGGATAATTCTCTTACTATTTTAATTTCATCATCATCATTACAGCCCTTCACAATTCCACCGGTGAACATAGGCCTCCCCCAAGGAATGCCACAAAGCACGTTCCTGAGCCACCTGCATCCATCGACTTCCTGCATGTCTCACCAGGTCGTCACTCCATCTAGTGAGGGGTCGCCCTACACTTCGTCTACCGGTAAGAGGCTGCCACTCAAGAACCTTCCTTCCCCATCGGTTGTCGGTTCTTCGAGTTATATGACCGGCCCATTGCCACTTCAGCTTACTAATCCGTTGGGCTATGTCGGTTACTCTGGTTCTGCTGCGGATATCCTTATTTCTAAGTTTATCACGCAGAGACACCCCGAGCATAGCCCTCTCCATAGCTCGCTGAGCGACCTTGAGCTTCCTCATACGGACAGCAGTGAAGGACCACGTCTCAGATCCGTAAGTCATCACTGGCAACACGCACTGGTTGTACGATTTCGTTTTCAGGTTTTGAGGTATGTCTAACGAAAAGATGTGTCGTAGTTTCCCGAACGCTGCCCAGCCGAGTTGAATCCGTCGTTTGACCTCTCGGTCGAAGTTGGACTTACGTAGTCGGACTATTTGTCCCAGGTAAACATACTCGTCAACAACTTCGAGCTTAGTGCTCCCAACAACTACCGGCATAGGTGTGACATGGACGTTAAACATGATTTTCGTTTTGTCCATGTTCATCTTAAGACCTATCCGTTGGGAGACACTATTGAGGTCATTGAGAATAGTGCTTAGGTCCTCCAGCGATTCTGCCATAAGGACTATATCGTCAGCAAATCGAAGGTGAGTGATGTACTCGCCATTGATGTTAATACTGCATCTTTTCCAGTCCAGTAGCTTGAAAACATCTTCCAATGCAGCGGTGAAGAGTTTCGGGGATATAACGTCACGCTGTCTTACACCTCTCTGCAGTTGGATAGGTTTCGTACTCTGATTCTGTACTCGGATAGCCATCGTAGCCCTACTGTACAAGCACTTCAACACTTCTATATACCGTCAGTCAACTTGGCACCGCTGAAGGGACTGCAGCACCGCCCAAATTTTAACGGAATCAAAGGCTTTCTCATAATCCACATACGCAAGGCAGAGTAGCAGATTATACTCCTCTGTCTTCTGTACAATCTGCCGCTGGGTATGTATGTATTGTATGGTACTAAAGCCTTTTCGGAAACCGGCTTGTTCGGGAGGCTGGAAATCGTCAAGTCTGCATGCGAGACGATTCGTAATGACTCTCGAAAACAGCACGTAGACGCGGCTCAAAAGGGAAATCGGTCTGTAGTTCTTCAAGAGCGCGTTGTCGCCTTTCTTGAAGAACAAGACCACCGCACTTCTGCTCCACGCCTCCGGAGTAGTGCCACCATGGAAGGCGGAATTGAAAGCAGAGCTTTTGAAGGACTTCAAGTACCGGTTTTCCACCTGCTTTCAAAAGCTCCGCTGTAATTCCATCCATGCCCGGGGACTTGCCGTTTTTTAGGTGCTGAAGAGCCATTCTAATCTCATCTCATCAGACTGACGTCCGGGAAATCTTCGGGCTATTTTGTAATAACATATAATCTGCGCGCAAAAAGCTTCCAGTATCGTGGAACGCGTCTTTTGATGTAAGTAAGGATACAGGAAGTGTCAATAAGTATCGATATATCGACATATTGACAAGCCTAGCTGTATATGGTGTAAGTTGTAAGTTGTAAGGTTTCAGTTGCAAGTTGTATGTTGTAAGGTGTAAGTTGTAAGGTTTCAGTTGCAAGGTGTAAGTTGTATGGATTCAGTTGCAAGGTGTATGTTGTAAGGTGTAAGTTGTAAGGTTTCAGTTGCAAGGTGTAAGTTGTAAGGTTTCAGTTGCAAGGTGTAAGTTGTAAGGTTTCAGTTGCAAGTTGTATGTTGTAAGGTGTAAGTTGTAAGGTTTCAGTTGCAAGGTGTAAATTGTAAGGATTCAGTTGCAAGGTGTAAGTTGTAAGGTTTCAGTTGCAAGGTGTAAGTTGTAAGGTTTCAGTTGTAAGGTTTCAGTTGCGAAGTTGTAAGTTGTAAGGTTTCAGTTGCAAGTTGTATGTTGTAAGGTGTAAGTTGTAAGGTTTCAGTTGCAAGGTGTAACTTGTAAGGATTCAGTTGCAAGGTGTATGTTGTAAGGTGTAAGTTGTAAGGTTTCAGTTACAAGGTGTAAGTTGTAAGGTTTCAGTTGCAAGGTGTAAGTTGTAAAGTTTCAGTTGCAAGGTGTAAGTTGTAAGGTTTCAGTTGCAAGGTGTAAGTTGTAAGGTTTCAGTTGCAAGGTGTAAGGTGCAGACGTGGAGCTAGTACCTTGATGCGTAGTTCGACGTAGCTGGAGTGCGCCAGCTTGCAGTACTCGGCGCGCACCAGCTTGGCGTGCGCGTCGTACTCCTCGCGCGAGGCGGCCAGCACGGCCAGCTCGCAGTCGCCGAACAGCTGCAGCTCGCGCAGCGCCAGCGCGCCCGGACTCCTCCTCTCCCCCTCCCCGTCCCCCTCCCCCCGCCCGTGCCTGCCCCGCGCCGCACTCCGCGCACACCCGCACCGCGCCTCATCATCCGTCAGCAGCGCCAGCACGTATGCCGTCAGCTCTTGCTGCGACATCGCATTACAATGCAATTAGGGTTGGTATCTCCTGTCCGATGACCATTTTTGGAAGACGACAATAAACGAATAATAGTCCAATTTTATTTGGAATGTTCAGTTTCCAGAAATAGTAAACCCCAAGCAATAACGCGGTGCGCAGATTAGATATATTTCATCACAAGATAAAGAAAATATGAAACTTTCATTTTATGTTTTAGAGGATTTTATAAGATTAAATACCTCATTACGAATCATCTCGCCCGCAGGCTCGACGACTTGATGCCTCCCGAACAAGCCTGTTTCCGAAAAGGCTTTAGTACCATAGACCACATACATCATCATTACAGCCCTTGACAAGTCCACTGTTGAACATAGGCCTCCCCAGGGAATGCCACAAAGCGCGGTACCGAGCCACCTGCATCCATTGACTTCCTGCATGTCTTAACAGATCGTCACTCTATCTAGCGGGAGGACGCCCTACACTTCGCCTGTCGGTACGAGGCTGCCACTCGAGAACCTTCCTCATCGGTTGTCGGTTCTTCGAGCTCTATGGCCGGCCCATTGCCACTTCAGCATACTAATTCTTTGGGCTATGTCGATTACTCTGGTTCTACTGTGGATATCCCGTTTTTAAGTCTTTCACACAAAGAAACGCCGAGCATAGCCCTCTCCATAGTTCGCTGAGCGATGTAGTGTTATGCTACTTACTTATCATTTTACATTATTTTAAATTCATTTTTCCATTCTGTTTCGATTTTCTGCATTCACTTCAAAACTGGATATTTTACATCACCTTTATTTCCATAGGATCCTGTAACGATTTTAAACCATAAGAACACAATAACAAATCATTTCTACTTCGTATTTTCACATTATCAGCACTTTTAAATTGGTGTCAATGGAGTCTACCTTTTTTCGATCTTTTAGTTAGTTTTCCGTAACTCTACAATTTCGGGCTTTGTGTGGGCAGTTGCGCTACCTTTTTTCCTATATCAATAATATCTCATTTTCCACTTAAATCTTGCCGTTTTCTTATTACAAGCCTAAAACTAAAATTTGACATGTTTTGACATTTTTGTTTATTTGGTCTCCATAGTAATTATATTCAAATTTGCTACCGATCTGTTGTTCCTATTTCGATATTTCCACACAAATACTCTTTTCTCTTGACCATTTACAAAAAATTTGCGTTTAATTTAAATAAATTTTCCGTTCTCTCTAGAAAGGTATAAAAGCCGAACAATCGGTGAAGAAAGGCAGTCTCGCTTCAGTTCTCGAATTGGAAGCATCTCCTAAAGGCCTTATCCCGGGGCCGCACTGCCCCGGGATCCTGCAAGCCTCCACCTACACGTGAAGTCTTCGGCGAAGCCTTCTTCAAGCGCGGAGCCGCACCACTCCGGAATCCTACAAGCCTCCATTTACCTCGGAAGTCGTCGGCAGTCTACTTCAAGCGCGGGGGCCACACTACTCCGGGCGCTACGACTGCTTACTCCACACGCCGAGTGCACCTACCGCCGGCGCTACCTTTGGGCGTTGCAACTGCTGACTCTAAGCGTTGAACGCATCTACTCCAGGCGCTACGTGCGCCGGCTCCGGACGCTGCGTGTGCTGGCTCCAGGCGCTGCGCGCCGTCGCTGCTAAGAAACCTACCTCTACAATCGCAACGTGTGTCGCTTCGACATTTAGGCTCCACTACAACTCTATATTCCCCTATTCTCCTACCTTTATTTTTTTTGTAATCTAATTGTACTCTCACTTCATTCATCATCATCCTCATTTCATTTTTTTATAAAATTGTAAATATCTTTGAATTTTAAATATATTTTTGTTTTTGTTGTATTTTTGTTGTTTTGTTGTTCTTAGGTTAGATTCTTTTTGTTCTTTATTGTCGCTTCACGATAGCGACTTTCAGCTTTCTCATACGGCTAGCAGTAAAGGACCACGTCTCAGTTCCATAGGTCATCACTGACAACACGCACTGGTTGAACAATTTAGTTTTGAGGTATGTCTAATTAGAAGATGTGTCCGAAGAAGATGAATCCGTCGTTTGACCTCTCGGTCGAAGTTGGACTTACGTAGTCGGACTATTTGTCCCAGGTAAACATATTCGTCAACAACTTCGAGCTTAGTGCTCTCAACAACTACCAGCACAGGTATGACATGGACGTTAAACATGATTTTTGTTTTGTCCATGTTCATCTTAAGAGCTATCCGTGGGGAGACACTATTGAGGTTATTGAGCATAGTGCTAAGTCCTCCAGCGATTCTGCCATAAGGACTATATCGTCGGCAAATCGAAGGTGAGTGATGTACTCGCTAATGACGTTAATACCGTATCCTTTCCAGTCCAGTAGCTTGAAAACGTCTTCCAATGCAGCGGTGAAGAGTTTCGGGGATGTTATGTCACCCTGTCTTACACCTCTCTGCAGATGGATAGGTTTCGTGCTCTGGTTTTGTACTCGGATAGCCATCGTAGCCCTACTGTACAAACTCTTCAGCACTTCGATATACCGCCAGTCCACTTGGCACCGCTGAAGGGACTGCAGTACCGCCCAAATTTCGACGGAATCAAAGGTTTTCTCATAGTCCACATACGCAAGATAAAGTGGCAGATTGGTCTTCTGTTCAATTTGCAGAAGGGTATGTATGTGGTCTATGGTGCTAAAGCCTTTTTGGAAACCGGCTTGTTCGGAAGCCTGGAAGTCAATGAGTCTGCATGAGAGACGATTCGTAATGACTCTCGAAAACAGTACGCGGCTCAGAAAGGAAATCGCTCTGTAGTTCTTCAAGAGAGCGTTGGCGCCTTTCTTGAAGAACAAGACCATCGCACTTCCGCTCCACGCCTCCGGAGTAGTACCTCCATGAAGGACGGAAGTAAAGAGCTTCTGAAGTACTTTAAGTACCGGTTTTCCACCCGCTTTCAGAAGCTCCGCTTGAATTCTATCCTCGCCCGGGGACTTGCTGTTTTGAAGGTGTTGCAGAGCTATTCTAATCTCGCTCAGACTGACGTCCGGGATATCATCGGAATAATGTCGGATAACACTTGTTCTTGGATCGTCACTCACACTTGCGTGTGGCTCCAACGATGACGTGTGCAGCTGCCTATAGAACCTCTCAATCTCACTCAAAATCTCAGGTATCTCGGAAACGATGCTGCCACATTCGGTCTTCAGCTTCGACAGTTGGCACTTTCTGGTGGACAGATCGCTGGCAAAGACTTTGGAGCTCTGGTTCCGCTTGATCGCTTCTTCAATACGAGCAGTATTAAAGTTGCGTAAGTCCCGCCGTATGCATTTGGAGATCTGTCTGTTCAGTTGCCTGTATGCTATCAAATGTACTGAAGACTGCAGCTTCATTTCCCGTCTAACAGCTATGAGATTAAGAGTGTGATCGGTGAGTTTTTGTGTTCTTCTCCGTCGGGTTTTGCAAAACTTAACTCCGACCGCATGAACAGTTTCCACGATCTTGTCATTTATATCGTCCACTGCATTGAAATCTTCTAGGCACTGAAAACGATTTTGTAACTCGAGTTGATAGGTTTCGGGACTTTGGATTAGAGCACGAACGGGACGGGGCGTTGACTTCATTAGACGACACCTCTCGAACTTAACGTTTAGGTTCAGTAAGCCTCTAACCATTCGGTGATCGCTACCAGTTTTCACCCTCTTGATCACTGAGACATCACTGAACAGTTGTCGTCTGGTCGTCATAATGAAGTCAATCTCATTTTTTGTCGAACCGTCGGGGCTCGACCAGGTCCACTTCCTGTGGGGCCGCTTCTGGAAGAAAGAGTTCATCATAAAGAGTCCCTCTTTCTCCATGAATTCGGCCAGCTGCTGGCCCCTTGGGTTCCTTTGCCCTTATCCAAATTTCCCTACTTCCAGCTCACCGTTCTCTCTTGTGCCTAGTTTTGCGTTAAAGTCTCCCATTAACACCGTATAGTGGGTTTTGGAGGAATACATGGCTCTGGAAATATCCTCATACATTTCCTCCACCTCCTCATCGGGGTGTGCCGAGGTTGGTGCGTAAACCTGTACGACCTTCAGCGAATACGGTTTGGTTATTCTGAGTATAAGGTACGCAACCCTCATCGACACACTCCCAATCTTTACAACGTTGTTAACGAGAGACTTGTGGACGATAAATCCGACACCATCCGACAGATTGTCGCCCTCCCGGTGATAGAACAAGTTGCCGGATTCGAGGATTATAGTGTCCTCCCCTCTTCGGACTTCAGATAATCCTATAATATTCCAGCGCAACTTGTGTATCTCTTTTTCCAGCTCGCGTTATAAGTTGCCAGGTCGAGTCGTCGTAGGAGGCAACCGAAACTCCACCGGAGATTCTTAGCACCCCCTGCCCCGCCGTTACCATGGTCGCCACCGTAGCCAAGAATAGCGTGGCCGCCGGGGACTGGGAGACGTTTATTATTGTCATTGCTCATTGGCAACCGCAGTTTTTTTATTGCTTTTGTTATTATCAGAAAGATGCGGCTGCCCATCTTCTGCCTCAGTTTCCCTCTGTCGCCTTTTACGACATCCACGGGAAGATATGAGGTTGTGGGTATTCTTACCCGCCACTACACTGGACACATACATACACATACATACATACCTTTCGGCAAATTTCACAAAATAACTAAGAGTAAAATCTGCCACTTTGTATTGCGTATGTGAACTATGAGAAAGCATTTGATTCCGTCAAAATTTGGGCGATGCTGCAGTCCATTCAGCGGTGCCATGTTTTGACTGACAGTGCTAATGTGTTTGTACAGTAGGGCTACGATGGCTATCTGAGTACAGAACCGGAGTACGAAACCTATCCAACTGCAGAAAGGTGTAAGGTAGGGTGACGTTATATCCCCGAAACTTGTCAAGGCTACACTGGAAGACATTTTCAAGCTATTGAATTGGAAAGGATACGATATATATATCAATGGCGAATACGTTACCTACTTGTGCCGGTAGTTGTTGGGAGCACTAAGCTAAAAGTTGTTAACATGTATGTTTACCTGGGACAAATAATCCGACTAAGTAAGTCCAACTTCAACCGAGAGGTCAATCGACGGATTAAGTGGGTGTGTCAGAGTGTATCTGTATGTGTGTTTGTATCACTAACCGACTGCGGGTGGTCGTGCAGCAGGTCAGCCAGCAAGCGAGCAGTGAGCTCAGCGGGTGTATGCCGCAGTACAATAGCCAGTTTGAACGCGGCCGGTTGCATCACGTCTATCATGCCTTTAGCCAGCAGGTTCTGCCACACGCCCGCCTGCAAATACAATACAATAGAGTAGAATAGAATCCGATTCACGTCAAGGATGATTCGCGAGTCAATTGAAGTAAAAAGAAATCTTAATTTCAATAGAGAAGATGGATCGGTGCTACCATCTGCTTGGGATCCTATAATTAATAAAATTAAATCCAAAGCCAAGCATACCACTGCAAGGCTTCAAGATATTGTATGGTCGTTATGCGTAGATCGGACCAAAAATTTATATTCAAAAGCGTTTTGGCATCCCGATGTCATAGTTAAGCCGGGTTAACTATGACATCGGGACGTCACGCCCCTGAGTGGCCGTGGCCGTGGCCCGTGGCCATGAGTGTTTGCTATAAAGCGACGAAAATGTCGGGAATAAATAATTAAAAATTAAAAATATTGTACAACCGACTTCAATATATATATGATTAAGGATAACTCAAAAACTATTGGTCAGACCTTGATCACCATTTCATTTATATGGGACCACATGGGAAGCACCAGCTCTAATCATCATCAAATAAAAAAGAATCATCGAAATCGGTTCAAGTAAAACAAATTTATGAGGAAACACACATAAAAAAAAAACATACAGTCGAATTGAGTACCTCATCCTTTCTCAAGTCGGTAGAAAATTAAAATTAAATGCGATAAAGTCCGTAAAATTAGTTTTATTTAATGTAAATATAAGAAATCATACGAGTAATAAATTCATTCTTATTGCATATAGATTACAAGAATAGTTTTTAGTTCGAAAAGCATTTAAGCTTTACCCCTGTTTCGGAAAATACCTCTGTGGTGCGAAGAAACAGCTAGATAACCCAGCCGGACTTTTTGTTAAACTTTAATTTACAGTATGATATTATTTACAAATATGTATGAAAACATTTAGAAACAGCACGGTAGTGATCACTTCATTCCCAGGCGCCAATCATGTACTCTTTAGTAGTATAAAAACCTAAATTTACAACAAGGAATGTTAAAAACCTGAGTACCAATCTGTTTTTAAGTGGGGAAGAACTGAGCCCTGTTGAATCCACTGTTTTTCTTGGCATCACTCTCGACGCAAAGCTTCAGTAGGGCCCCCATATGTCCAAACTAGCAAGCAGACTAAGTTCTGCAGCCCAGGCTGTAAAAAAGATTAGAGGTTTCACTAGTGCCGAGACAGCTAGATTAGTTTGTTTCAGTTATTTCCATAGCATAATGTCTTATGGGATTTTGCTATGGGGAAATGCGGCTGAGGTGGCAGAAACTACGAGTATTTTTGTTTTACAGAAGAGGGCCATTAGAGCTATTTACGACCTAAAACCGAGAGAGTCTCTAAGAGATAAACTTAAAGAAATAAATATATTAACTTTGGCCTCTCAGTATAATTAAGAAAATTTTATGTATGTTCACAAAAACAAAGGTAGTTTTAGTAAAATAAGTGATGTACATGCTGTAAACACTAGGAACAAACACAAGCTAGTGATAGGAGATTTGGCGGGAAATTGACCGGCGGCGGTTTGCTGCTCCTGTATTATTGTTTAAATAATGGTTTGAAGTGGACTTTGATATGTAAAAGTGTTGCGATTTTGTGTATTAAGTGTCTACGCATGTGAACTATTAGTGGAAACAGTGAAACAAGTGCTCTGATGGTGATGGATTCTCAAGATAAGCTGTTTGTTTGCATAGGCACCTTTAGATACCATCGCCAACTATCAGCTGTCTGCTGGATCAAGTTGCCGCCAAAATCTCCCAAGAACTGCACAATGTGACGCATCAACATATTGTGAAGCAGTATACTATGAAGGAGTGGGGAAATTACAATAAACCGAATAAAAATACTTAAGACTTGGCCTAAAGGTCTAGATACCAGGCCATAAACTCCAAAAAAAAAAACAAGCTAGTGATACCAGTGTTTACACCACTACTTATTTTAAATTAAACACTGGACATAATTTTTTTTTTTAATTTTTGTAATATTTTATTTGTTGAAAACGTCACATTGCTTTTTCTACATATTTTTCATAAAACATTCTAAATTAAAAACTCTTTCCACTCGTGGCGGCGCCAACTGTGGTTCGTCATAAAAACTAAACATAATCGTCTAAACATTCCGGCGCCCAAGGACTAATAGTCCTTAAAAAACATGGAAAAATAACATTCAAGAAAAAATATACTATTTCAATCATAATATACAGTTTTAGGATGCGTAAACTGATTTAAATCTGTGGGAAGAGGACAGATTTTTGTGATAGGTCTTTTAAAAATATTATTTTTAAATTGCAAAGTAACTGTTCTAGTAAAACCATCCTTTCCTGGATGCTTATCTAAAATACGACCTAACAGCCACTTTCCTGGAGGAAGCCTTTCATCCTTAACTAAATCGACAGTACCAATTTCTGGTTCATCACTTTGATTTGACCATTTGTAACGATGCTGAAGAGTTGTAAGGTATTCTGAACTCCAATGAGTCCACAAATTTGTAACATTCGCTGAAGTAGTTGCCATCGATTTAGATAAGATAATTTTACATTTTCAAGGTTTTCCTCTGGGACAGTGATAGGTGCCTCTCCAATCAAAAAATGTCCGGGTGTAATAGGAGAAGCGACATCAACTGAACTACTTACAGAAGTTAATGGTTGCGAATTGACACAAGATTCTACTTGAGCCAAGAACGTGGTATACTCTTCAAAATTTAAAAGTGCCTGTCCAATAACACATTTTAAGTGACATTTCACGGACTTTACACCAGCTACCAATCCAATAATCCACCAAAGTGTGGAGAACCTGGTGGGATAAAGTGCCAGTTCGTGTTGTCATTAGCTAAAAGTTGAGCGATTTCCCCTACTACAGTAGACTTTCTGTTTTTAAACATAGAATCAAGTTCCTTAGAGGCACCAATAAAGTCTGTTGCACAGTCGCTCCACAAATCACTGCAACGTCCACGTCGAGAAGTAAAGCGTCGAAAAGCTGCGATAAAAGCAGCGGAGGTTAAGTCACTCACTAATTCAAGGTGGATAGCCTTCGTGACTTTAGAGCTTTTCTTAATTCTTGAACAGTTAAATACTGAGTAAATGATGTAGGTTGTGATTTCTTTTCTTTAAACATCACTTGAGTAATTCTCCTTTGTAGCTTCTTCACCTGTTCCTCGTCGTTCGCACCGGTTAGTAAGTCGTCCATATAGAAATCATTATTCATAATATCAACTAAATCTGGAAAACTTAGTTGTTCATCTTGCGCTAGTTGTTTAAGGGTACGAATGGCTAGAAATGGAGCACAAGCAGTCCCATATGTAACTGTAAGTAAACGTTTTTCTACAATCTTGTCTAGAGGTGACTTAAGCCAAAGAATACGCTAATAGTCAGTGTCTTCTTTCGCAACTAATATTTGTCTATACATTTGTTTTATGTCAGCTAATAAACAGATTTTGTGAGTGCGCCAACGAATAATTAAATCTCTTAAGTCTTGTTGTAAGGGTGGTCCGACTAGTAACTCATTATTCAATGCTGTTCCATTAGATGGTTTTGCTGTGCCATCAAAGACAACTCTTAGCTTAGTAGTAGTGCTGGACTCCCTTATTACTGCATGATGTGGTAGATAATAGATCTTGTGATTGGGCTTTTCATTAGGATCTACATCTTCCATGTGATTTAAATTTTGGTATTGGTCTATAAAATCTATGTAATCTTGTCGAACCTTTTCTCCATGTGATAAAGTCTAGTGAGTGCTATTTGTCTTGAATCACCTAAATTATTTTCTTGTGAATCTTTGAATGGTAAGCGCACTACATAGCGCCCGTTATTGTTTCTTGTGTGTGTTTTTACATAGTGTTCTTCACATTGTTGATCAAGTTGTGATAAATGTTTCTCAAGTGGTTTGTATTCTTCTATCTCCCAAAACTTACGTAATAATTGATCAACCTCTACTAGATTTGTTGTAACTAACATTGTATGTGCAAGTCGATCAATTTGTGTCTGGGTGGCGCCTGACACTAACCATCCCAACCGTGAGTTTTGTGCAATGAGAGATCTATATTTGTGTAAACCACACGCACGCACGCACGCACGCATGCACGCACGCATATTGCATGCATATTGACCGTGGAGTATCTTTCCTGGTATAGAAGATGTTCTACAAACTAGGTAAGACACATCATTTATCTTATTACTTGGATCATAACTAATTAATTTTTAACATCTTTAACAAACATATAGAATAAATCACTAGTACGTCATATAAAACAATCTGCATTAATTAACCTTGAACAGTACACTACTGAACTGTTAAAGATCATTTAATATAGATTATTGAATGTATACTGAATGTGTGTACTAAACAAATGGCTTAAACGGCATTACTTATGAAAATTGACATCGATTAAGAAATGCTTAAAGTAGCTCTCCCTTTTACCAAATGATTATAGAAAGAGACAGGTATAGAGATAATACTTAACCATTTCACTGTCCCGTCAGTAAAATAAGAACATTTCGATTGTTTAACTATTGTGTATATATTAGAACCGTAAATCTAACATTAATAATATCAGTTTGTGTATACGCTAAGTTTGGCAAATCGAGTCGAGTAAAGTGCAACTCTAAGTCGGAGGTTACACGCTCAATCTGGCGTCAGTTCAATCTATGATTGACGTCAGAATGACGGGAAACTGACTGTATACGCGTAGACTGATGGAGTGATGGTCCAGAATGATGATTATTTAAATATTTTAATAATTTTTGTCAGTCTGGTCAGACCGATGCCAGACTGAACGTGTGTTTCATAGCTATCAGTCTGACGTCAGTCACCGCTAAGACAGCGATGGAGTCGTACGCCGTGTCGCTGCGTGCGCCGACTCCCCCGACCTCCCCTTCTCAATCATTAGGCCCGGAGAAAGATTTTTTTAACTTTAGAAGTTTTACCTATTCTTTGGGATAAAACGAATAATCAATACGTAAATAAATATAAGGGAATCGAGGCGCTGCAGAAATTACTAGTAATTTTGAAAAAAATAAAACCCCAAGCTAACGTAG